GTTGGTCTATCCGGTGCTGCAGACGGCCGACATCCTGTTGTACCGGGCCGCCGAGGTACCAGTCGGCGAAGACCAGGTTCAGCACATTCGTTTAGCACAGAAGATCGCCGGCTCGTTCAACAACAAGTACAAGCAAAACTTCTTTCCAGTTCCAGTGCAGATCAACTCCACGTACGGGCGAGTGAAGAGTCTGCGAGACCCGACGAAAAAAATGAGCAAGTCCGATCCGGACATCAAAAGCTGCATTAACATCGACGACTCGTCTGATACGATTAAACTAAAAGTTCAAAAGGCGGTCACCGACTGCATCAGCGACTTGAGCTATGACCCACACGCAAGACCCGGTGTTAGCAACCTGTTGCGCATCCATTCCGGCTTGACCAACACCAGCGTCGACCAGATCGTGAAGGAGAACGGCGGCAAAACCGTTGGACAATATAAAATGGTGCTGGCCGAAGTTATTGCCGAGACGCTGAAACCCGTTCGAGACCGAATCAGGCGATTGACGAAAGACGAAGGTTTCGTGACCAGTGCTTTGGCGGTCGGTAGCGACAGAGCAAGCGAAATCGCGTTCGAAACTTACGACGAAGTGAAGAAGTTAGTTGGAATACAACTATAACTCTGTAGGCAGAAAATAGCAGAACTTTTAACTCTCTCATATGCGCAAGAAATGGAAAAATTGGGTATCTGCATTGTTTTGTTCTATGCACTATTTGAATATGATGCTTTTTGCTGACACGGTCATGTTGCACCAGCTGACAAACTGTTGAAGGGCCATCCTTTGCCAAAGCACTGTTATTTGTGTGTGCTGCAGGTGCGGTACGAAGTGCGTTAGCGGTAAAAATTTTGCCATCGGCTTTGTTTGGCTGGTAACCTCGACCGTGATTCAACTATCCAGCTAACATAACCGTTTTAGCACAACTAGTTCGACAGCACAGAGTGCTGCTAAATTTTGGTGTCGTTGCCAGCATGTTGGTTTGTTATCACGTTGATCATATAGGAGACAAACAGTGTTTCCTACAACAGTATAAAGCGGGGAGGGAACAGTGGCGTAATTAGTTGCTAATTTGAGGTTCTGGGTTCAAACCACTTGCACGGTGTATATTATCTCTTATTAACTGCTAATATTTGTGAACAGAAAATTTGCCATACTGCATTTTGCTGCAACCAGCCAAAAAAATGGCTGGCCGGTCGTTGAATAATATAGACATAGACAACTTGACGTTTTTGCGTGTTCATGCCAAATCATGCTCGGATGCGCCGTACGGCTGCGGTTCGCCTTGATTCACCTGAGAGCTGACATAAACGG